AGGGGGCGCTGGCAGTCGGCCAGGCCTCGCACTACGCACATTGACTGATACAGGTGGGCCTAGCGATGGCTTCGGCCGCCTCGCGGGTCGGGTCGCGATTGTCGGATTTCAGACGATTGTCGGCAAACATGCAGGTCTATATATATATAATACGTGATTCATTATTATTACCATTGCGACTATCAAAACAAGCCACGAATTCATATACCAAAAGGAGAGAACAGATTCATCTACTTGGAACAATCAATAATAATCTATCAATTTGATAACCAATTTGCTTTCACTAGTCACAAAAGTGTAAATTAAGCAAGTCAATTCTTAATATATCTTTTCGTTCAAAAGCTAAAGGGAACTCCAGAATAATGTCTTCACATGTATTAATTTGCAACCTAATCCAGTCTCAAGTAATGCAGTTTTGTGCAACAACGCCTCCTTACCACTCACCCACCTCCCAAAATTGAAACTGCCTGGACAGCAACTAAAACTGCAGGAAAGACAACAAACAGAATGGGGGGACAGGAAAGGGGAAGACAAAAGTAGTCAGGATAACTATAGTTATTTTATGTACTTATTGCATTTTTTTGTTGTAAAAAGAGTAATTTTAATCACCACCCACATAACTGTGACAACTGCTATTTACTCTCAACAAACCTTACCTCAGATCAGAAAACGTAGGAAACAGTTCACTCTCATAGTTGTAACGTTTGGCAAAGAAGGTTCTGATACACTCTACATCCCTGTCAAAGTACCTGTCAAACACAACAAAGTGAAAATCAAATAACAATTGTCCTGTTCAAGTAAAAAAACAACAAAAAAACTAGAGGAAATTTTAAAAGAACAAAGAGAGACAAAATATCTGATTTCAAGGACAAGACATCAAAGCGACATCAAGTTACAAGCTCACAAAATAACAAAACAGAGACAATGACACACATAGGTGACAGGCTGAAGTACCCAACAGTATGTCAACTGTTAAACTTTTCCATGTAGCTATGGAAATCCCGGAGACCCTTACATTTTGAGACAGATCATAAAAGTTCTCACAGAGCAAGAAAGTGGTAACAACTTTCAAAACGTTGAATCATTCAGCAAACTGAAGGCTATGATAGAACAAAATGCAAATGAAAGATGGAAGTGTCTGGAACAACATGCAATAGGAATGTGGACATCGCCCAGTGATTTCTTTAAAAATTGTTTTCATCTTGAGCACTGTATCTGAAAGTTTTGTTAATGATCTTTTCTAACAATTTTTTAATAACATTTTGAAACCAGAGGCTGAATACTTAATTGAGAAATTGTCATGCACTTTGTTTTTAATCTAATGCTGAAAATACAAGTCCTTTACGTGTATTTGAGTCTCCAACAAAAATTCTGTTAAGGCTCCTTACATTTCAGCATTTGGATGCGATGTGGAAATCATTTGAGGAAAGTCAATCATCGTGACTCTGTCGTCGGCATCAAGCATCAGATTGAACTCGTTGAAGTCTCCATGAATGACCCCATGGTTCCCAAGTCGGACAAGGATTTCCATGCACTCATTGTACACTGTGGCAGGATCACTCAATTCATTGACTTGACACCTGAACAAATGGAAAGTTCCATAAATACAGTTTGCATGATATGATAATTTCCAGGCATTAAACAAAATAAAGTTTTGAAAGTCAGTCTACATTTCTGAGGCAGCGTGGTGAAATCAGGCGCTCGTCAAATTACAGAAATCAGAGAAACAGGCACTTTTCTGCAAGTTAGAAAATTTTTATCGAATTTTTACTTTTTGGCTCAACCTCTTTTATGTCCATATAAAAACACACTTCCGTGTGAATTTTACTGAAAAACATTGATTAAATGCACAAAATTTTATTTTTCAGTTTCCATGGACTCTCAAGCTAAGGAAATAAACTCATCTTTTTTCCAGTAATTCCCATTACCACACACTCATTTCCAGAAGGTATTGCTGACAATTCTTTAACTGCAACATAGCTGCACACAAATTTTGGAACAGTTAGGGTATGAACATGCAGTCAGGCACAGATAACTCGAAATCACGGACAGCTCGTACAATTTGCCATTCCCCGGCTGACATGACATCTCTTTCATTTTTCCACATATTGGTCTCCCCGAATTATGGATGTGCAAAACACATTTGCCGATGCGGCCTGACGTGTTTCAGTTATCTGTGCCCGGCAGAACATTACATTGGGCAAATTTCACATAAAGGCTACGAACAAAAGAAAATCAATTTTGTGAAAGAACCAATGTCAGTAATAATTTTAGAACCACTTACATGGGATGCCCACTCAGAAGTTCCATGACAACAGCATGGCGGTTCACCTCCACTGGTTGAGGAACTGGGAATTTCCTGTCATACAGAGCCTGAAAAATAATTTTTAAAATTACATATGTCATAAAATGCAATCAAAATGTTTAAGTATTACACCAGAAGAGAATACAGTTACTACATGAGAGACAATGGGGTGAAATCAGGCGCTCGTTAAAATATGGGAATCGGAGAAACAGGCATTTTTCTGACAGTTTGGACATTTTTATCGAATTTTTATTTTTTGGCTCAACCTCTTTTATGTCCATGGCCATACCAATACACATTTCCATATGATTTTTACTGAAACACATTGATTAAAGGCACAAAATATGTTATTTTTCAGTTTTCAAGGACTATTTAGTTATTGGATTTACCGAACTTTGGTGGCAATTTTCTCGCTAATTTCACCACTAAAACTAGGCGACCTTACTTCCTTCAATCGCAAATATCTTGTTCTATTCAAGATAGATGGATATTCATTTCATTGAAAGCAAGGCAAATAAATCAGTTTTCAGATGATACCAATAACTCCACAGGCCCAAAAACTGACAAGCGCCCGATTCCCCAGCATCGTGACATATATCCCAGAATGTGCAACGGCAGCTCGTGACCGTGAAAGATGGAGGGTCATTACACGTCAACGCCTGAACCAGAGATGACACCTCCAGGTATCCGGGTAGTAAAAAAGATCCATGATTTCAGTTTCACAAAGGGCCTCAGGGCAAAGGAATGATTTTAACTGATATAATGCACCGACTTGAACAATAGTGAATTTGGCACAATTTAAAAAATTTGTTTCAGACCTGTCCTCAAAACGGCATTATGAAGCTCGCACCTAATCTTTAAAAACTTGCAACCAAAAAAAAAGTGTGACCATCTACACACATTCAGCATCAGAGAATGGAGATATCGGCCAAAAATGAACACTGGGGTCAGATTTATGGATTTTCAGTTGATGCTATTTGTTCAAGTCTACCGTGTCTTTTGTTATTCCATACATACAAATTGTTGAGTCGGTGTATCAATTTCCATAAGGCTAAAACCCGAGAAGTAACTTATTTTGTCAGCACACCTCATATATTTTAAAAATTGGTTCAGTATTTCTATGAACACTCTCACAATAAATATTTTAATGAAGTAGAAAAACTGTATCATCTCACATAATACAACATAATAAACAGAGGTTGTTTCTTTAAGCAAATAAAGTAAAGTACCTTCATGAAAGCAAATTCCTTTGCTGCTGCCAACCTTCCCAGATAGAGCCATGAAGCGGACTTTCTGTACTTCAAGTAGTCTCTTTTGTTTTTTATTTGCCGAAAGCAAGTGCGACCAAGTCTGAAAAAGCAAATTATTGGGAATTTCGCTGAAATGACTGAGAAGGATTGAGTTGGAGTAACACAGTCACATTTCAGCAATAGAAAGGTAGGCAACAGAAACAAGAAAAGGGAGAAACAAGAAACAGACCACACAAGAACCTATAAAAAAGATTTCTACATGGCTTCTTATTGTTAAAAGCTACGACTGAAATCCTACTACTGCTTCCACTGAAATACAGCCGAACCTGCCCTGACAGCCATCTGTACAAACGGCCACTTTCCATTTCCCCCCTTGCATTTTTTCTATATAATTTAACTGTGTAAAACGGGCACCTGTCCAACGCGGCCCCCATATTTTAACACACAACCCCTATCACACCTAACAATAACACCTGTCTTTGACGACCACCTTAGTGACGCCATTACATTTTGTCATAAATCATGCATTGGCCCCTGGTGTTGTGGGCGAGCCATCATAATCCAATCAACTGTCGTTATTGTGAGGTAGTCCCTCCAACCGATCATGTTGCGTAGGCCCCTACAACTGTTGACCAATAGGTAACAAATTTTCAGCTGCTGGTGAGGTAAGCGTGAGATCCCTCATAACCTATAAGCCCCGCCCAGAACTCATACAAAAATCGTAAGTGAGATGAGTGGTTACTGTTTACCCAGTCTGTAACAAAGTAACAATGGACGTCAACATGAACTTGTGACAGAAGTGTCGCTCGTTCTCAGAGTGGTGGCGACCAGTGTGTTTGATTTACCATAGCACTCGGTCCATTTCGTTTTATAGTCACCCTTGCACAAAAGCAGACACAAAAGAACCCACCTCCAAAGAAAACAACAACAACAATGCGGCTACAGTAAAACCTGCCCTGACGGCCACCTGTACAAACGGCCACTTTCCATTTCCCCCCTTGCGTTTTTACTCTATAATTTAGCTGTGTAAAACGGGCACCTGTCCAATGCGGCCACAGCCCCCATATTTTAACACACAACCCCTATCACACCTAACAATAACACCTGTCTTTGACGACCACCTTAGTGACGCCATTACATTTTGTCATAAATTGTGCATTGGCCCCAGGCGTTGTGGGCGAACCGTCACAATTCAATCACCCGTCGTTGTTGTTAGGTAGTCCCTCCACCAACCCATCATGTTGTGTAGGCCCCTCTCACTGTTGACCAATAGCTACCAATTTTCAACTGCTGGTGAGGTAAGCGTGATCCCTCGTTACCCATAAGCCCCGCCCAGAACTCATGCACAAATCGTAAGTGAGATGAGTGGTCACTGTTTACACAGTCTGTAACAAAGTAGTAATGGACGTCAACATGAACTTGTGACAGAAGCGTCGCTCGTTCTCCGAGTGGTGGCGACCCGTGTGTTTGTTTTAACATGACACTCGGTCTTCCTCGTCTGATACATTTCGTTTTATTGTCACCCTTGTGCAAAATCAGGAACAAAATAAAAATTACCAAAAAAATACAAACCACCACCACCACCAACAACAAAAACAACAATGCGGCTACTTTCGATTGGGACTTCAGATGGGAATGGTTTGTTTTCTTCATCTTGATCAGTCCTGCCTAAGACGGCCACCTGTCTTATACGGCCACTTTTCTCCTTGACCATGGGTGACCGTCTTACACAGGTTTGACTGTACTTTCAGTTGGGACCTCAGAAAGGAATGGTTAGTTTTCTTCATCTTGATCAGTCCTGCCTAAGACGGCCACTTTTCTCCTTGACAATGGGTGGCCGTCTTACACAGGTTCGACTGTATTATCAGTCGGAGAGGGAGACAAGCTGAATGAGACTAGATTAGTAGATGCTGATTCGGGTTACTTCGTCCCGTGTTTTTCCTTTACTGGCATTACTTGCACTATAATTTCAGTTACGCACATCACTCTCAAGAAACACCAATATTTATCTTGCACAAAAAGATGGAGAGGCAAAAAAAAAACCCCCAACAAATTTCGCTTAAGAAAATAATGAAACCCCCACCCAACTAGTATTATCAGGTGGTAGACAAGACAATTCTGGACTTTTTTTGTGCAAGTTGGGATTTAACCATTTCGGTGCAGGCCACAACCATTGGTCGCGATACACTGAATGAAACCCAGGGTTGGAGTAGGGAAAATCAACTGTTTGACATTCCTGGCCTGACTGAGGGTCCTACGCAAAACCAGATTTTTAAAAAAATTCTTTACATGTTCATGAATATACTTCATCTAATTTACTACAACTTTTACTTTTACACTCATATAAAATTTAGAAGAATAAGAAAGTTATGAAGGAAATAAAGGTTCTCTCTCTGAAGTTCCAGTTTAATTCAGCATTCAAGAAGACTAATGCAGGGAAGAATTCAGCAGCCAAAGGGTTAACATTTGTGACAAATATCAAAGGCCAATCTGCTCTCAACCAGAAAATTACCTACTGCAATTTGAAATTCTTTTTTCAGGGAATCTTCAATGACGATTATTTTAGGCTTATTATTCTAGCATCTGCGTTTGTAGTGGCCGCCATTTTAGTATTTTTCAAAAAAGACAAAACAACAAAGCTACTTCATAACATATTAGACATGTATTTTGATAAGTTTTAAGATGTCCATGTGTATCAATTTTCCACCGGAGAATATAAGTACATTACATTACATACTATTTATATTGCTGTTGGTCTTTATTTTTCCCTCTTTGTTTTGTTTTAATTTGTCGATGTGTTAATTTTTCTAAAAATTGTTCTGATGAATTGTCTTCCTTTTTTTTGTGTTGGTACAGCGTAATGTCATTTAATTTGATGCTGTTCCTTCCCTTTTAAAAATATAAATGTGTTATGTTAGAGCGTGTCTCCACCAAAACCGAATACTGACACGCCCCAATTGTGTGTGATTCCATAATTTACAGGTAATATCTTGTAGGCCTACTTTTTCTTGAATTACACACGTTTAGGGTTAAAACAGCCAATCTTCGGATAAGTGGACATGCCCCATAATTTGTTAATTTTTTAGGTTCTTTATGCGTGCTGTTCTAATTTTGATTTCATTCTGTCGTGAAACCTTTATTTTTCACGCTGGGAGACTACAAATGATATTTCGGAGCTTAAAACGAAGCACAAGAAATTCCGATGCTTTAGACGGTTACCTCTATCAACATATTGTTATATAAGTCGTCACAGAGAGTTGAAACCTTGAAAAATAATGGTAACTTTTTTGTCATTTTTTTCACTTTTTGTGGCAACTTTAGGCAACTTTTGGACGAAAAAATGGCAACAAACACAGATGCTACATTATTTTAGGCCCTCGAGAGAAAGAATCTTCCATGAGTGGTGCCAATTTGAACTCCATCCCTTTTACACAGCACATTTGAAGCCACATACACACCTGTGAAATTTCAATGCATACTGCTTCTCATCATCATCGGCAACTATGTAGACATCTGAAATGTGATCATGTAAAAGAATAATATTTCAGTGAAAGTTAAAACTCAATTATAGAACAATTATTTTCACACAAAACACAACATAAAGCAGGCATATTTTGCTGTGCTAATGATGAACTCAGTTAAGAACAGAACTTCATTAACCCTTCAACTATGCTAACAAACCTGCCATAATGTGCTGTTATAAATGACTTCGCATTATTGATAATAGAATAACTGCAGAACTGTCAGAGGGAGGCCCCTAAAACTATACATTATCAGAAAGGAATTGGATGGGTTTGTCAATATTTACATAGTTCAATGACCTTAAATAAGAATTAGAAAGTCTGAAACAATCAAAATCATTTTCTGCCCTTAAATGTTTGAAAACTAATATAAACTGTATTTATAATGTCAAAAGAGTAGTAGGAAATTTTATAGGCACTCAGAAAATTTATGGGTTTTGTTGTACTTTTGGTAAAAAAAAGTCTTAGTTATGATTATAATAATAATCATAAATAATTATTTACACGCTGAGAAGTAAAAATTTGACAATGCAGATTTGAAAAGACTGCAGTGCACAACGCGATAAGTCGTTATAGAGGCAATTTAAAAAACGTTACACTGTCTTGGTCTAGATCTCTCATTCAACTATCAACATCATAACCTGAATCGTCACTTCCAAGGCCATGCATGAATCATCATTGGAATCACTTATAATTATCAAAAATATTTTCAAAAATATTGTTCAATATTTATTACAAATCATGAAATCTCACCGAAGGTCCAGGCATAGACTTTGATTCATTTATTTAGTCAAGTATGGCAACTGACGGTTGACCATTGTGGCAGCAACATCCAACAACAAAATACTGCTTCCAAAACAAAGGAAAAAGTGCAAAAAATGACTGAGCAAAAAGCTTCTTGTCTACTCTTTAGTAGAACCTATACACACAATGGTTGAATGCAGATTTAAGGCTATTTTTACTTACTTATTGTATGCCCCTATTTACAGCTGGTCAATCAGCTGGCATACCACAGAGAGGGGTCCGACGGACCAATAGCGGCCAGCCCACAGTTTGCAGATTAAAATCTAAATAAGTAACATTTCTTACTGTATTTAGTGATATAAACATTTCTGTCAGAAAAATGAAGTGAAAAGAAGAAAACAAATACCAACCTGACTCCTTTCCCACTCCAATCTGGTTGCCAACAGATGATACCACATCTCTCTCCACAAGCACTTTCAAGGCAAGGTAATCATAACCAGCATTTGTCAGGCGATAGCCACTGTCTGAAATAACAGCAAAATCTCAAGTAGGGTGACATTTATATATTAACTTCCTAGTGCTAAATGTAGCCCACTTGCATTTTCAAAAGAAAAAAAAATCCATTCAAGTTCAAAAACTATTTTTGCAAGAGAGAAGAATGCATTAATATACGACACTTACACAGCCACAGTTAAAATTTTGTTCTGTAAAGCAAAGATCATCATCATCATCTACTGAGTCTGGCTGAATTTCAGTATTCTAACATTAATAGTAACAGAGTAGTTTACAGTATTGTTTTTCGCTTTAGTAAGGATTTACTGCCCTCGCAACTGCATAAGGTCATATGAGCGCTTAGGGGTGGATGTCAACAGTGTCAACAGAGAAGACCAAACAAGGAATCAGGCTTACTCTGTTCACCTCTCTAGCCGTAACAGCACAAAAAGTCTGCTTCGACTATCGAGGCACCTCAGAAATAGCAGTTCACAAGAAAGGAAAGTGACAAACATACAAAAGAAGTAGAGGAAAAATGATGATAGTAAGGATGAGGAAAGAAAAAGCAGCAGTTCCCCCTATGTTGTTCCGGCACAGTAAGAGCATGACATTGTTAAATCAGCCCATTTACAATTCTACTGTGCATAAAAGAACAAGTTAATATCCCCCCCCCCCCTTGGGAATGGCCTTATAATGTACTACTTCAGTCTGTAGCACTACCGGGGGGGGGGGGGGGGTTTACACCTTAATTTCTCTAGATTGACTAAAATAAAAACAACAACAACAGGAAGGCGGTGTATTGGTCTGAGTCAAAGAGTCCAGCAGAAAGTGAGTTAAACCCTTTTGTGACACAGGGTCAGTTCAAAAGTCCATGCTTCATCGGGCAGTTTAGGATCCCTAGGGGCAACGAGTAGCACTAGAGTTAATGGTCAGTTGCCTATAAAAATTAGGCCTAGTATATAAATTCTACTATCTCAAACAGGAAAAGATTTCTTTGTATGAAAAAAATAGCATGGCATGTGAATCTGTTATTTGTATTACAAAATGCATCTAATAGAAGCAGTATGCAGAACACAACCTACAACATATAATAAAATGATGAACGCAGTACGACATACAGGTCACAACGGGGTTAAGCTCCGACACTCTCTACCCTAATATGAAATGATGGTATTTTTCTTAAGATACATGAAAGCTTCCACTAATATTGTACTACAGGTTTCCACTGACAGAATGCAATTCTGAAAGTCTACATCACATTATGTGCTTTTTGAGAAACACCATATCCTTCCCATGAACTCAACGAGTAGTCCAATTATGAAAAAAATCATGTCTTGCCAACAATACAAACAGGATGAAAGTTTTAAACAATCCGCATAATGTAAAAACCAAATAAAAAAATAATGCAACAAACATAAAGTTTGATTTAAATCCCAGATTTGTCAAACGAGTAAGAAAACATGTACTGACATCTTTTGTTTCCCTGCTCATAAGCCACAAGCCTGTGTCTGTGAAGCTCTCTCAGCTTTTTGTGGCTACCTCCGGCTGGAAGATGAGCAATTGCTGCTGCTAGAGCTGGAGGCACCAGCTCATGATTCCTCATGCCCATTTCAACCTGAAAAATCAAGTACAGAATGTCATTGTCCCTGAGAGGGTAGGCGAAAAAATGGCAATTATAGTCACATTGATTGCCCAACTGAGGGTTATAATAACATTTCAATTCTTTACTTTACTGTACCATACAAAAAAAATTTTAAAAATAAAATAAATTACACTTTTATTTGTCCCAGAAGGGCACTTTGTTTTACAATGGCAAACATACATACATAAATACATAATTATAAATACGTACATACATAAATACATACATGCATAAATACATACATAAATACACACTATTACACAAATACAGAACAGTTTACAAACAATGCCACTGTCGGTCGCCACTGTGCAGCGCCCTGTAATTTGAGCTAGGGTTGTCGTGTCTTGCTCAAGGACACACTCCAGTGACCACCCATCTGATCCCCGTGTCACCGACACTTGCTTGACATTGCTTGAGTCGAAACTCACTACTCACTTAGCCACTGGAGCCCCCAAATCATGATATTCTTTCACTACTCTTGTTTCATCACGCTCAAGGTATTGTTTGGCATTATTGTGAGTCTGCCTTTTTCTCGTTCATTGTATTCAGGGTATTCTTTTACTTTCCCTCCAGTATCACATTTAGCAACTACTATGTGTGTCTATTTTCGAGTACATGATTAATTGATGCGCTGAACACAAATATCGACTTCATGTCCATCACAAATTAATTATTAAGAAAACATTCCATGGTTTGTAATGCAACTTTTTCAAACTAAGCCTAATAGCACAGTAGTGTCTGCGCTTTGGACCAGTCAGGGAGTTTCAAGAGGGCATGCCCCCCCTGAGCTTGAAGTAAGAAAAAATCTGGGGGGATTTTCACTTATAATTCGATGTTTTGCAGTTGGGTTTGAAATTTTCTTGAAATTAACTGATTTGCTAGTTTTAGTGGCTATGTGTGATCTGCAGCAAATAATATGCAGTTTGACTCTCAAAGCAGTGCATTTGAGCGCAGGAGTGAAAGTAATTACCTTTTATCGTTACCAGTTTTACATAAATTTCAACATTACACTATTGCAAATTATTAGCTTCTGAAATACAGTCGAACCTGTGTAAGACAGCCACCCATTGTTGAGGAGAAAAGTGAGTCTACTAAGGCAGGTGTTCATCTTAGGCAGGACTAATGAAAATGAAGAAAAACCATTCCCTTTTGAGGTCCCAACCGGAGGTGATTTCAGGCTTACGACTTCCGTAAAGCTATTAAAATCTTTCTTTCTTTTTTTTCCTTCGGGGGTGGGGGGGGGGGGGGGGGGGGGGGTTTACACCTTAATTTCTCTAGATTGACTAAAATAAAAACAACAACAACAGGAAGGCGGTGTATTGGTCTGAGTCAAAGAGTCCAGCAGAAAGTGAGTTAAACCCTTTTGTGACACAGGGTCAGTTCAAAAGTCCATGCTTCATCGGGCAGTTTAGGATCCCTAGGGGCAACGAGTAGCACTAGAGTTAATGGTCAGTTGCCTATAAAAATTAGGCCTAGTATATAAATTCTACTATCTCAAACAGGAAAAGATTTCTTTGTATGAAAAAAATAGCATGGCATGTGAATCTGTTATTTGTATTACAAAATGCATCTAATAGAAGCAGTATGCAGAACACAACCTACAACATATAATAAAATGATGAACGCAGTACGACATACAGGTCACAACGGGGTTAAGCTCCGACACTCTCTACCCTAATATGAAATGATGGTATTTTTCTTAAGATACATGAAAGCTTCCACTAATATTGTACTACAGGTTTCCACTGACAGAATGCAATTCTGAAAGTCTACATCACATTATGTGCTTTTTGAGAAACACCATATCCTTCCCATGAACTCAACGAGTAGTCCAATTATGAAAAAAATCATGTCTTGCCAACAATACAAACAGGATGAAAGTTTTAAACAATCCGCATAATGTAAAAACCAAATAAAAAAATAATGCAACAAACATAAAGTTTGATTTAAATCCCAGATTTGTCAAACGAGTAAGAAAACATGTACTGACATCTTTTGTTTCCCTGCTCATAAGCCACAAGCCTGTGTCTGTGAAGCTCTCTCAGCTTTTTGTGGCTACCTCCGGCTGGAAGATGAGCAATTGCTGCTGCTAGAGCTGGAGGCACCAGCTCATGATTCCTCATGCCCATTTCAACCTGAAAAATCAAGTACAGAATGTCATTGTCCCTGAGAGGGTAGGCGAAAAAATGGCAATTATAGTCACATTGATTGCCCAACTGAGGGTTATAATAACATTTCAATTCTTTACTTTACTGTACCATACAAAAAAAATTTTAAAAATAAAATAAATTACACTTTTAT